GAGATTATTAAGAAAATTGATTAGTAAAGAATCTTCTGGAGAAGTACTTACCAAATACTTATTAGAGTTACTAATTCAGGTGGCTTTTGAGCAATTTGAAAGTATATTTTTACATAGAAAATTACGGGATATTAGAATATACCAAATTCCTGGTGATACAAATTAAGACTAAAGTAATGAATTAAAAACTCAATAGCAAAACGTGGTGCATTTTACCCGAAAATATATCTTCTATATATAGTACCAATTCCACCAATTATTAATTTATTTATATAATTTTAACTTACAAATTTAATTTGAAGATAATAAATCCCCACTTTTTAGTGTACATGTAAGCATCCCAATAGTTAATTCAGATGCTGTAATTGTGGGTGTCAAAATCACCTAAGCCCCTATCAGCCCAAGCCCGTATTTTCTATTGCAAAGGCCCAAGGATACGATCCAATCTCGGTTGGGCCAGTGCCAAATTCCATGACTTGGGCCAAGGCCTATGGCCCAAATCCAGCCTTCTTCCAGAATGGGCTTCATCAACAGCCCACCCAAGGTCAAGCCTCTGAAACAAGGTAAGTAGGATTCTTCCTATTCGGTTCTATCCTAATCTGCCCAAGATTTCATATCTTGGATGAATTAGGACTCTTGCTGCTAATGAGACAAGTGAATCAGGGTTTTTCCTATTCACTAGACCTCCTCCTATATGGATTCAGAATCCTATTGGGATACGAATATCCTACAAACTACTATATAAACAAGGGTCACCCCACTGTTTAGACATTCAACATTATACCTTCCAACCTGTCAATTCTCATTCTCGAGAGTTGTACTTTGTCTTTGTGGTCTTAGTTCCCAACTAAGCTACTAGTAACCTTTTCTTTCCCTTAAACCTCACTAAAAAGCCTTTATTATCTTTGCTGACTTGAGCATCGGAGTGTCTACGACAAACACCACCCCAGTGTTTTCCGTTTGTTTCACGTTGGTTCCTTTATGTGTGCAAGTACATCAGATTGCCAGTGGCCTCAACCTCATAGGATTCATCCTTCATTCTGTAACCGTAGATTTTGGCATCTACAATTTAGCACCCACTGTGGGGCCTCTGGCAATCAACATTCCTTCGACATTCTGCATCACAAGGGAAACAATCATGATTGAGACAACAGACAATGCTCCCATAGACCTAGTGGTAAAAATTGAGGCTTTAACAGCCATGATGCAATAGAATTCGAATAAGGTAGCAGCATTGGAGTCTGAGAACGCAAACATTCGAGCTGAAAACCAAACTCTATGAGAGCAAGTAACTTAGTTTTATTCACTTGACTTCACTCATGATCAGGTGCCTGGGAATCGCTTTCGCGTCTCGGTAAGCTCCATGCAAAACCTATCAACCCTTGACCCTAGAAGCTCAAATAGAGATCCACAATCCTCCCACATTAAGTCATCCTTAACAGACGGCTCAGCCTTAAACACAACCGATCCATCCTTGCAAACATCTCTCCCAACTTATCCACCACTCACACTAGACCCCATTACTCAGACAATCCCAAACTAGTAGGTGTAAACATCAGCCACTATCAATAACCCCACCCAACCTGCCCTGACTGATAACCTGCATCTGCGAACCCCACTGGGCTCGGCTCTCCCTCACAGGTTGAGTGGACAACATTATGCCCAACAAACCCATCCTGGTATAACTCATCCCCATAGCTCAAGTCATCCCCAAAATACACCCCTGGTCATTCATGTCGTCCGAAACAGTCATTCGATCACACTGGGACCGATTCAACCTAAAGGGGCGACTAAGTACCCCAGTTCCCAACCAAACTACTATAGAGTACCCCAGTTCCCACCAGAAGATTCATCCTTCATTCTGTAACCGTAGATTTTGGCATCTACAGTAATGAATTATGTGCTGTGTCGACTCAATGTATGTGATTCCAAATTTCATTGACTTCATTCATCGGATTGTCTTTTTTTTTTTTTTTTAACTTTTCTTGTTGAAAAGTAGAGAGTTTGAAACTTAACTTCAACCTTTCTTATTTATTCAAACGCACAATCAAAGTCCACTAATACATGCATGTTTAAGAGAAGGTCAAAGTGATTATATATAACAGGTCAACTGATGATTTCATAAAAATTTAGTTAAAGGTTTAGATCCTGATATATTGCGTAAAGATTTCATGTTTGGTTTTGTATTATGAATCTTTGTTCAATTTCACAGACGGTCTTATAACTTTTCCCAAAATTTAACACAATTCACAATATTTTTAATTATGAATTAGTCATAATGCATGTAAGAGGAAACAGCTGATTTTTTTAATTTTTTTTATGCTGTGATTATTCACATTCATCGTTAATATTCACGTTTACAACTAAAAGAATGAAGAATTAGAGGAGTTACCTCATATTTCTGTAGAGTTTTGTGGAGCTCTCTAGATAAGGAACTGTTGTAGCATACAAAAAGTATTTAACAAAACATTTTAGAAGTGAGTACTTTTACAATTGGATTATGTAATGATCATATATATAAGGTACATTTAAAAATTTTCCTTTTGACGTGGTTGTCCATTATCACCATTCTTTCACAAGCTGTTGATTTTAATTTGGTCCCACGTGTTTATTTAATTAGAAGCAAATATTGAAAGCGGGCAACAATGTCTAAGTGCAGAAAATAAATAAAATTTTCCTGATAAGCACAAGAAGTCAAAAGCTAAATATGTAGGTACAACAACTGTGATAAGTGTAGTAATGTATTAAAGTGATATTAGCACCAACAATCATTCAAAATTCTCTGCATATTTCTCAACCCTTCATTAGCACAAATTAAATTTTATTTTTTTATTAAGAACAGCCAAAAAGTCTAGTGGAAAACAACTCAAATTCCACCTCTGTGTTTGCTTTTGCCATGCTTTTTCTTTCTGTTCACCACTTGATGATGTTCATTTTCTGTGGTCGGTGTGAAATCTGTACCCACTTATAACACAGAAAAGTTCTACATTTGTACGTAACTAGAGACATCGGGTCAACTGATCTTTTGTTTTGGTCTTTGTCTCTACAACTGATTGTGACTAACACGTTGTGTTAATACGATTAACTTCAAAACATTTTCGGCTGCTCTATGTTCATATTCTGACATAATCATCACCTGTTGAGACTTCTCGTACAAACTGATTTGGCGACTCTAAAGATGATATAATTTCTTCCATACAAAAAGTGCAAGTCGGGTTTGGTTTGGCCTTAAAGCGAGTGACCTAGGAAAAGTCTCCGTATAGAATTAATTGGATCAGGTGAGAAATTAATTGAGAACGATTTACTCGTAAATCATAAGAGGAGATACAATTCAATATAATGATATAAATTCCTTCTTGTAAGAGTATACAATAAAATAAATGATATTACTAAGTCACATAAAAAGTGTCACGTAATTAATAAGAAAAGAGAAACATTTTTTTTTCCTTGAGAGGTTTAATAATGAAAACACACCTATTAAACCTCCTACTTTCTAAAAGAGGCAATTGTCTTTAGATTTTTTGAGAAAAGAGGCAACTGGGATTTGAGAAAAGATCTTCTAAAAGTTCTCTCTAAAGCCGTCTTGAACATTCTCCTATTTTCTCATATATTTTCAAACTTTTTTGTAACTAAACATGTTTTAAATTACTTCAAAACTAAGTAAATAAATAGAAGTCTTCTTCGATTTTCGTCTCTGACTGCTTCTTATTCATTCTTAACAGCAAGATGAGGGTTATACATTCACCAGAAGAAAAAGGGAAGATTCAAGAATGAAAACTTATCAAGAGCTACTGGTTTCAAAGTAAATATGTACTCTATAGTACAATAATAGTGATAAAAGAAAATAATATGTCGTGCAAAAAACATATCCCCTGATCATTAGTATTGATACTTTATAAGAATACAGTTCACGTTTGAACTTAGCAGTTAATGGACAGAATTTAAGCCTTGTTCTTCAGCTTACTTATTAAATACCTCACTTTTCTTTCTCAGCAATAAAATATAGATAGACTTGGACAGATCATCCTTAGAAGTCTTCAAACATGTGCTATACTCATTACCCATTCTTATGTGGTAATAGTCACATCACTTTACTTAATGGGGTTTAAGGGTCAATTATGATGTTCGCTATGAAATCCTGGTTTTAATCATCTGATGAATTGACTGTTTTGATGCTAATGTACGGTATAAGTTATATATCATAAAGAAGATATTTTTTTTATATATCTCTATGTTTGTCAATTAATTAATGACATTTATTTCAAGTTTTTAAATAAAACACTAGTGGAGAACATAAAATTTGATAACCGATTCTGAAGTTAAAAGTTTGTTTACAATTAAGCTCGTGATTGACAGCAGTTCAAAAATATAATTATGATAAAAGAATTAAATCTTGATTATACATAAATTAGCATAATTGCATATGAATATTAAAGGTTTTGCAACTCACAGTGACAATTTGTGGAAAGACTTAAGAGAGCTAACCTAAGTAAGCTAGAGAACGGGATGCTATATTAATGTGTTGATTAGAATTTAATTGATCTGCGACATTTTGGGATTTAAGTATAGGAGTATAACTCGTAAGCGATTCGCACCAAAGCATTTTTTCGGACTCAAAACTTGGTTCAGCTCAAAACTTCGTCGTTGTAATTGGCAGGATATTTTGATATTCGTTGTGATTTTGGCTTAAATGTCTTTGAAGCACTTTGAAGAAAATAAAACCTCCATTTTAGGTTCCCCTTGGGACTCCAGTTTGATTTGTTTCCTGATCAGGTATGAAAGGGCAAAGAGTAATCTAGCCTTGACAACCAAAATTTTTTGGATCATGCATAAGCTTTTAGTCTTGACGTGCACAACACCAAAATAGCTAGGCCGTTAAACATTTGTTTGTATATATTGGAGGCTATCAGAATAATATCATGAAAATAGCAAGAGAATTTCATACCCAAGGCACAAATTAAATTGCAGACTAGCTATCTTTTACCCCATATCAAAAAGTAAAAAAAAAAAAAATTGAACGTAATAGATATGTAAAATCAAGGTTGGCTTACATACTAGTGCCCCACCAGTATGAGAATAAAAGAAGATATAGTGTGGTGTGACTCAAAAGACAAATATTTATTTTACACATGCAACAACTGAAAAACAATATGGAGGAGAATAAATTTGGGCAGGATATTCCTGTCAATTTAATTTCTCATTAGGTTAGACTCATATTATACACCCAAACTTCAAAATAACTAAGTTTGGATATAATCACGTAACATTTTTTTGTTAGTAATTATATATCTACAACTCCAAATTTCTAGTTGTTACCGAGGGATTCCCATTTCCTGAAATTGCTGGAGTTGGCTCATTAACAGTAATGCAAACATGGGGGCAGTCAACCTTGGCCGGAGATTTTACATCGTCTCTTTGTCGTATCTGTGATTTTTCAGGTAACACAGTAGCCTCAATACTTTTAAAATTGGCCATTGATGCAAGCTCGTAAACAGATTCAGCTATTTTTTCAGTGCAGTCAACCACTTCAATTAGTAGTGAAGCCACAGCGGCCACTGGCACCGCTGCTAGAAAGTCAGTGTCTTCCCATACACTTGATTTGAGTAAAGAGTTTAGGTTTTTGGCAGCAGACTTCGAGTTTTCTATGTGGGTATTAGTATTAGCTGAGGATGGTTGACTCGTTGCTTTGATTGCCAATGCCAATTCCTTAAGTGCCTTGCCACATTCCAAGCTCATTTCTTTGCATACTTCTTCAATTTTGTATCTCATTTCTGATGATGGCTGCTACAACTCAACAAGATATAATAGGATTAGTTAGGAACGTGAAATGCATGAATCCACTTCAGAATAATTTATTATTCTTTGTTTCTTTTCTTATTATTTTACCCATTGAAATCTTGTTTAAATTTTATTGCCTTTATCACTTCTTAAATTGGCTTATATAAGAATGTATTTGGACATTTTTTGTGAGATATAGAATTTAAAATAGTACTTGAATTTCAGTGTTGAGGTAGCCATTAAGAGCATCAATTCGATAGGCACACTGGCGGGCGAGAGTTCCAATTTTGAGGTACTGATTCCATGGATGGCGAAACTTAAACCGACCATGTCCTGGTTCCCATTTTGCAAAATTAGCCTGCCAACAATAAGAATAATGGATTATTAAGAATATTCAGAAAACTTAATTTTCACATAGAAAAAGAGAGGGAGAAAACATTATTCTCACCAATGATTCCTCATTACTTTTTGAAGTAAGAACACTTTTATATTGTTGCAAAAATGACTTGTCATCTTCAGACTCTCCTGCCTTCGATGTTTTAATGTATTCATCTCCAAATCCTGAAAATTCACCTTTATTGTGTAAGTGTTTGGGTCATTATTACCATGAAAACAATAGGAATATGTTGCTCTCACATCTCAGCCTTATATAGAGTTATAATTTTCCTTTGTGTGGATGTCGTCATATTTTAAAGTGCGGTTCAAGGTTAATACATTATAATTAAAAAAAAAAAAAAAAATTGAAAGACAAATAAACATTGTTTAGTCCTTAGTCCGATATTGCGGATCACTTTTTCTTATAAAAGAGAATGATTATGTACATATTATGTTTGCATGGCGTAAATAATTCTTATGTTGAAGTCAATTGTTGTACCTTCCAAGAAGTTCCCAAGTTTTCCTATGTTGGAAGCAATGAGATTATGGAGGTCTAGGCCAGCCCATACGGGGCAAATCAAAATGGAAATGATGACACAGACAGAGCCACCTATGAGGATGGTTAACAACCTCCTGCGCGCTAACTCTATTATTTCATCATCTCGAAAGCCCGATACTGATATCAGCGAGAATGTCAAAATAAATATTAGCACCGCATAGTCGTATCTCGCCTTGATCTTGGGGAAGAACCGTATAAATGTTGATGCCGCCGCTGAAGCATAATCAAAATGATTTTATATCTAACTGATTCATCAGAAATAAATATTTTTTAAGTGTATATTTTTAATATTTACGTACCTTGTAGAAAGACAAAGAAGCCAAGCATTATAGGCTCGCCTATCTCTCCGGATAGACAAGCTAGGTGATGAGCTCCAACGCTTAGAGCCCCACCTAATAATGTTGCAAATCCCCTGTTCAGACCTTTTCCAAGAGTGGCTCCTGAAAATTATGTGTCAAAAAAAGCACAGTCGATTCATTTAACTTCAATATTCTCAATTGGCTTTTTTACTGATTATATAGAAGAAAGATGAACCGGGTCTGGTTGTTTTATTTGTTTTCTTAACTTGTAATTAATTAGATGAAAGTAATCTATAACTTACCCACAGAGTATTCAAAAACCACGACCACAGTCATTACAGCCCACATCGCGGAGACGCCAAAATTATCATAGAGTGGCCGGAAGTAGTAAAGCAGTGAGACAAGGTTGAGTGCAAGTCCTACTTTAAGTGAATGAGCAACTCTTCTTGGCTCATCTTTCCCGAGCTTTATTGTCTTTCTCGCAAGTTCAACCACCTTGGCCTTCAATTTCTCCGGCAAGCCTTTGAAAAGCGGCCGCGCACGAGCGAAAACCGTTGCTTTCTCAAGGCTTGTAGACTCCATGTCCATCGCTAAAACTAGAAGCAAATTTGCATGAACTGCGAAACAGACTTGAAAGAGAAAGCGAGAGGAATTTTGGAGGAAATCAATGGATGGTAGAAGATGCTTGTGGAGGTGCTCTACTGACCTCTTCATATAGGAAGGAAAGCATCTATTAGGGAACTTTGAGTCATTAAAATATAATATATCTACAAATGTGTTCGAGTCCTTTTCTATGTACGGGGCAAGTACAAATAAATTTCATAGTTCAAACAACTAATGGGTTGAAAGTGCAAAGTGGGGAACTTTTCCACTTTAAATTTCTATGGAAATAATACTGCACCCGCAGATTTTAGAAAAATAACACATACACCTACATAGATGACCCTGGTAATAACAATTAAAATATGATACTAGATCAATGACGAAGCCAGGAATTCTAATGGAAGGGAAAAATAAAACACAATTAAATACAAAATATTCTCAAAACAATATATATTAAAATTTTGAAATTCATTTAATAATATTATTCAATATAATACAATTGTTCTTGATATGTTTTCATGTTTTGAAAGCGATATATAATTACATCATTGTCAAAACTAATAAATATAAAAATTACAATTTAATAGTTAAAAAAAAAAAAAAAAAAAAGGAAAACATAAAGAAAGGAAAAAGTATTTTATATGATAATGACAACAAAGTGAAGAAAAGTGGGAAAACATAATTGCACACCCAAGTTGATCGTGATAGTATACTTCTTTACGTGTGTTGATGCAAAAATACTCTAATTAGAGTGATCCAATTAATCTTGGTGGAATCAGAATAGATGTATGCGTGATTTAATGAAAATCAGCAATTGAATAATTAAATAGCAAAAATGAGCAATCACAAGAGGCAATTTTTAAAGTGGTTCGACAAGTTTGAACCTTGAGCTTACGTCCGTTGTTTCTCTTATTGAATATGAATTACAAATGATGAATTTTTACCCATAACAATTACCCAACCCCCAGAAAACAAGTTATGATGGGTTTATATAACACCCATTTACATGATAGAGTTGAGGTAAGATTCAAATACGTAGGATTGGAAAGTTACATGATCTTTGGCTACCTTAGCTGGAATCTAAGTTAATCTGAATATCTTCCTTCCAAATTGAGTCAATCTAAATATCTTCTCTTCTAATAGGGAATTATCCTCTCCGGATTTCACGCACAACAATAGCCCCCCCAGCTTTTGGAGTGAGAGTTTGGACTTCAAAAACTATGAGCTTCAAAAACGACGAGCTCTGAAATGACAAGCTATAAAATAGCAAGCTCTGAAATTACGAGCTATTAAATAGCAAGCTCTGAAATGACGAGCTATTAAATGGCGAGCTTTGAAATGATGAGCTATAAAATGACGAGCTCCCAAACTAAGCTCTAAAACGAGCTTTAAAAACAATCTCTAAAATGACGAGCTCTCAAAACGAGCTTTGAAACGATGAACTCTCAACAACAAGCTCTCAAAATGAGCTTTGAAACAAGGAGCTCTCAAAACGAGCTCTGAAACGATGAGCCCTCAAAACGAGCTCTCAAAACGAGCTCTAAAATGATGAGCTCTGAAACGACAAGCTTTGCACTTTTGCAACGAGTTTGGAACATATCTTAGTATTTTAATGATAACTTTAGCTGTAGACCTTGGATTTGAACGATTCTTAGACAATTGGAAAGATTACTCAAAGGGCTACAACTATTATGTTTAACATTTTTCCATATTCAGATTGTATCATGCTCGATTTCACACTCTCATCGATGAGTTATGGCGAGTTCGCTCTCTCATTAACGATTTATGGTGAGTTCACGCTCTCATTAGCGAGTTATGGCAAGTTCACGCTCTCATTAAAGAGTTATGGTGAGTTCACACTCTCATTAACGAGTTATGGGGAGTTCACGCTCTCATTTACAAGTTATGGAGAGTTTGCGCTCTCATTAATGAGTTATGGAGAGTTTGCGCTCTCATTAACTAGTTATGGCAAGTTCGCACTCTTGTTTACGAGTTATGGTGAGTTTTGCACTCTCATTAATGAGTTATGACAAGTTTGGAATATGCTTCAGTAATTTGACAATAACTTGAGCTACAGACCTCAGATTTGGATGATTCTTGAACCGTTAGAAAGCTTACTCGAAGATCTAAAACTCTTATGTTCACCACTTTGCTATACTCATAATTTATCATGCCCAATACTCCCCATCTAGGAGCGGCTTTGATTCAAAAGTTGGATTTGGTGACATGGGTTTAGCCATGGCTGGTTTTTTACTGTTAGAAGATGGAAAAGAAACTGTTGAAAAATAGAGAGAGCTTGGAGTGCTCAAGCCCCTCCTTCTAGCACCAAAATGTTAATGCAAAAATACATCGATTAGAGTGATTCGATTGACCTTGGTGGAATCGGAATGGATGTGTGCGTGATTTAATGAAAATCAGCAATTGAATAATTAAAGAGCAAAAATGAGCGATGACAAGAGGCAATTTTTAAAGTGGTTCGGTAAGTTTGAATCTAAAGCCTATGTCCACTGTTTCTCTTATTGAATGAGAATTACAAATGATGAATATTTTCCTATAACAATTGTCTAGCCCCCAGAAAACAAGTTATGATGGGTTTATATAACACCCATTTACATGATAGAGTTGAGGTAAGATTCAAATAAATAGGATTAGAAAGTTGCATGATCTTCGGCTACCTCAGTTGGAATCTAAGTCAATCTAAATATCTTCCTTCCAAATCGAGTCAATCTAAATATCTTCTCTTTTAATAGGGAATTATCCTCTCTCCGGATTTCCCGCACAACAATGTGTATTTTTGTTTTTATGTGTAGAATTAAATCTTAATTTATTAATTAAGATGGGGAAAATTTTAGCTTTATAACTTTTTAAATATAATAAATGTAGTTCATTTGTATGAAATGGGTATTGTTTAGTTAAAATTTAAAAGCATCTCTTCTTTTTATTTTTGTTTTTGTACTTATTTATAACTAAATTTGGTAATTTAGAAAATATATACTATTAAGGAAAATCTATATATTTTTATCAAAATTTCAAGGCAGACATGGGCCCTCCTTTGTCCTTAGTAGGCTCCACCTAGAACTACAAAATATTCATCGCTTTCAGTTTGTAAATAATATTTAGAATATATTGGCTCCGTTTGTTTAGCTTTTTAGAATAGCTTTATATTCTAAGTATGATTTTTGGAAAATATGATAGGATTCTAAAAATGTTTTTGGTATATTTTCTGAAAATATTTTGATTATTTTTAACCCCCTACGTTTATTAATTTAACTAAACAACCCCCCCNCTCTCCGGATTTCCCGTACAACAATGTGTATTTTTGTTTATATGTGTAGAATTAAATCTTAATTTATTAATTAAGATGGGGAAAATTTTAGCTTTATAACTTTTTAAATATAATAAATGTAGTTCATTTGTATGAAATGGGCATTGTTTAGTTAAAATTTAAAAGTATCTCTTCTTTTTATTTTTGCTTTTGTACTTATTTATAACTAAATTTGGTGATTTAGAAAATATATACTATTAAGGAAAATCTATATATTTTTATCAAAATTTCAAGGCAGACATGGGCCCTCCTTAGTCCTTAGTAGGCTCCACCTAGAAGTACAAAATATTCATCGCTTTTAGTTTGTAAATAATATTTAGAATATATTGGCTCCGTTTGTTTAGTTTTTTAGAATAGCATTATATTCTAAGTATGATTTTTGGAAAATATGATAGGATTTTGAAAATGTTTTTGGTATATTTTTCAAAATATTTTCTAAAAATATTTAGATTATTTTAACCCCCTAGGTTTATTAATTTAACTAAACACCCCCTAAATAAAAGTTTATAAATTGACAAAAACACTCACATCCACCCAACTATTTGCCAACAGCCGACCACCACCGTCAGGCGATGGTCGGAAGCCGTCGGGACATCGACTAAATCTAGCTTGTCATGTGCCGATCTGGCCTTTTTTGGCCATATCCACCGTGGATCTAGTCGGAAACAACCAAATCTATGGCCATAGATCTAGCCGTTGATGGCTAAATTTGGCCAAATCTAGTCGTCATTGATAGCCAAGATATGGCTATCATCATAGATAGATCAGTGCATGACTGACCAGATCCAACTAGTCATGCGTCGTTGCAGTGGCGGCGGTGGTTGCTGGCGGGTGATAGTGGCTTGGGTGGGTGGGGGTGTTTTTGTTAATTTTAAAACTTTTATTGAAAAAGGTAATTGTTAATGTTTTGAGTTGAATAGAATACAATTGGATTTTGAAGAATATTAAAACAAATGCATTTTTCATTTTTTAGGATAGGATAGTGTAAAACTAGTGTGTCAAACATAGGGTTTATAATTAGTATAAAAAAATATATTAAATGATGTACAAAATAAGAAGGACTAAACTAAACTTAGACAGAAATTTGAGAGCTTAAAAAACTAGTGCTTTTTATTTAAAGATTCTCTCCATTTGGTACATCACCTTGTGAAGGGGGAATGGTGTATTTATACTAGATTTTCCACCCCCTTCACAAGATGATTAATTGGTGGTTAATCGCGATATTACTAATTGCCAACATGATAAGGAGCCAATAGGTCACACACATAAGGAGAACTAATTGCGGATTGTATATTTGATCAAAGAAGGGTTAAATTTTATTTTGGTCTTTTCACCAAGATAAGGGTAATTCAGTAATTTTGTATAGGTTGTCGCCTATGTCTATTTATTATAGAATAAATAAAACTACCTCATTAATATTTAATACATTAATATCAATTGTATTTATTAATATTGCACTAATTAATATTAAATATATATTTATTATATATTAATATTAATTGAAATAGAATACCTAATTAGTTAATTAATATATTTAATATATTAATTCTAATTGGAAACCTATTTAATTCTATTCTAAATTGGTTTAGGATTAAACCCAATATGGAATAGAATAATATCCTATTCCAAGATGAAATAGAATTTTAAGTTGCACTAGATGAGTCAACATAAATTAGGTTTCAATAAGACACAATTCATTCACTCAAAAGTATAACTCAATTTTGAAAGAGAAACTTAACCCTAGCTGCCCAC